TGACGCTCTTTGCTAGTTTTATTATTTAAATATCATTAATTATTTAATAATCACCTTGCCACGGTTACCTTCTCAACCATGAATATCTTTTAAAATACAAGTTAAACCGTGTCCACGGCTAAACTACTAACATGAAGAAGAGCCGTAGAAAAGTCATTGCTTCTTTTTATTTTTACTGAAGTCAACAAAAAACTAGAAGCTAGCCTTCTGGTCATATATTAATTGCATATACTATGTATGTACGAAAAGAATTTTAACGACTCTAGGTATTAGTATGTTCGTACGAAATCATCGATACTAATGATATCATTCATTTAATATTAATTAATGGTGACATTTTAATTTTTGAATGATACGATCTAGTGCATCATACTGTTTTTATAGTGATGACATCAGTTTTCCTATGATGTGAATTGGTCATGGAAAATAATGTATGTCACATAATATTAACGCATAACATGCTTGTAATGATAATAACAAAAGAAGATTACGTGATCCAAGCCCTTGTTTTGGCATAGATTTCAAATTTTACAAGGTGACAATATCAAGGCAGTGCTATATAGTGACAAAGTTGCAACATATCTGATACACAAATTGTGATTTTTTTAGGAAAATATATAATAATTTATATATATTTCTTTTCCTAGGGTTATGTCTTCTTTGGTGAAAATTTTTAATAGCGGAAGCAGCAACTTATTTCACTTCTCCAAGGAACTCGTAAATTTTCGTCAAATAGGTTTTTGAAACCCTTTCAACGTCCTCCAAGTGGTTTACATTTCGCGATATAATAATTATTGATGATGATTTTATAATAACTCTTCTTATGTTCAACAAACACAGAGTATCATTGTCTATAAAACTTCTGAGATATAAAACAAAAACTTAATATAGCAAAGAAAAAAGATTTTCAAACCAGAAGAACTATTGTGTTTTTTACTTGTCACTTTCTTTGTGGTCATGTAATTAAGGATCATGTGCAGATCATAATACGTGAAGGATATTGAAAAAAAAAACGAATAAATAAATAAATACATTATAATGCAGTACAATTGTGACATGGCTAATTCAACCCTCAAAGTCTTTATACGAAATTTAATGTTCACTGTCTGGTTTTGTTGCAGCATTTCAAACACTAGACTTTCCACATGTCACTGTTAAAACCGGGTTGAACAAAGTTAGAAGAATTAAATAAGACCTGTACAATCTTAAATTCTCAATTTCAAAATAATTTATATTCTTCATCAATAAATTGTCATCAATTAACGACGTCTATGACATGCATAACAAAGTATACATGCCGAGGATTAGCTTATAATATTAATGAAAGATGGAAGATACCTAATAAGATAAGCATCAATGACTGACTATATTATATCCACCTTTTACTCTTTTTTATATAACAGTATCAACAAAATTTACAAACTTCTCCACTTCCTAGCATTAAAATGTGTCTAAAATAGAAGTACCAGAAACTTGGACCGCAATCAGCACAAAATCTCACTTCTTGTTACAGGGCTAGCACGAAAGCTGATTGAGAATTTTCCATCCACTCATGTAGAAACCATGGATTCTCTCACCTGCAAGGTCTTGGAAATTATCAAGACAATGATTTTCTTGTTCCTTTTTGGCAGTGGCGTGAATTCATTTAACTTTGATATCGTCAAAAATGTTCTTGATTTGCCTTCTTTGATGAAAATAAATCCTAAAGTGATCACTTTCTGAACCATATATTCGTCCAAAGAAGCCATATTTTGTAAAAAAGTTGTGTCTACGACCATTTTATTTATTATTTATTGTTATAATAATTTTTTGAAATTTGGAGGTTCAAAAAACCGGTTTTTGACCAATGGTAAAACTGGTCACTTAAATTTTGAATTAAACAAATAAAAAAAAATAGCTTTTTTTTTTCTTTATAAATTATTTATAATAATAATAATAATAATAATAATAATAGCTTTTTCTTTTTCTCATTTATTACACTTGTTATCAACGAAATTTTTAAATGGATAAATTTAAGGAGGTAAGTGACTTGTGAATAAAGTTAACAAAATATATAATAAATATAAATACATTATCTTTATTGATTATTACACATAAAGAAAGTAGCTGCTCTTAAAGTTGAACGTGATGAGGCTGTAGCTCGTCTTGAAGCATTAAAGGAAGAGTTAAAGGCTGCACAAGAGGAACTTGCTTCTAAAGAAGAGGAAAATAGTACTCTTACAAAGAAAGTTGGCGATCTTGAGACTGATTTGGATGAAGCCTTGAAAAACTTAAAAGAAACTACTGAAAAGTACTTACTTATTTGTTTGTTTATTTACTTATTTATACTCATAGTAATAATAATGAAATACAAAGAACATTTTTGTTAAATTTAATTTTATCTTATTTATATTTTTTAAAAAGGCTTCGTGAAATGGATATTAAGGTTGAAAATCAAGCACGTACTATTGTTAAACTTGAGGATGAATCATCGGGAAAAGATAAGAAATTAGATGAACATCAAAAGAAATATGATGAATTGAAAAATGAATATGATGAAACTATTAAAAATATCGATGATATTTAATTAATCATTCATTATTATTTATTAGCTTTATTAAATATTTTTATTTATCTATTAATTTATAAATATTGTTTATATATATATATATATATGTATATACATATACATATACATATATATATTATATTATAAGAGAATCAATTGATTAATTATATCTAACCTGAAAGAAAGAGAAATAAAAAATCAGTAATTAATAGTCAAATTATTTGATGAAATATATTTGATTATATTACTTTATTAAGAAGTTGGTAAATGTTGTGACGTCATCCAATAATGAAGAAGATTTTCGTGATATTTCTTATTTGAGGCGGCAGAGATGATGATCTCTAGAGCGTGTTATTTTTTTCAGAAAAAAAAAATTTTTCTCCGTTAAAATGGCTAGTAGTTTTTCATCTTTCCAATTAATGAATTCATTGATTAATGAACTTGTTGAATCTAGTATTGGTAATTTACCATTAAAACATATTAGTAAACTTGTACATGATTTAAGAAATTTATTGCATCAATCAGATTTTTATGATATGGAAATTACAGTTGGAATGGGCGAGGAGGCTAAAATTTTTAAGGCACATTCTACAATTCTAAAAGCCAGGTCTTCGTATTTTAAAGCAGCTCTATCAAGCAATTGGATTAAAAGATCAGATGATGGTATCATTTTATTTGAAAAAAAAAACATGTCTCCAATAGTATTTGAGGTTATTTTAGAGTAAGGCTGATTGTTTAATTTAATTTAAATAGTTGATAAATCGATTGATTAATTGATTAATTAACTTTAATTAATTGGTTGATTAATTGATTAATTAACTTTAATTTTTTATATTTACATTTTTTCAAAAAGTTATTTATATAATGGAATTATTGATATACATGATTTGGATCCTAATGAAATCCTTGGACTTCTTATAGCATGTGACGAATTATCTTTTAATGAATTGCTTGAGGACTTGCAAATTTATTTGATCCGGAGAAAAGAACATTGGGCTCATAGGAATTTGTGTTATCTTTATAAAATTACACTGCAACACAAATCGTTTAGCTCGCTGGACAAATATTTTAGGAAATTAATTAATCGGAATCCGGAGCTATTTTTAAAATCTGAAGATCTTGAAACTCTTGAAAAATCAATGCTCATCCTTATTTTAAAAATTGACAATTTGCTATTAAAGGAAATTGTCATTTGGGATTATGTTCTTCGTTGGGGAATTGGACAGTTTGAAGATTTGGATAAAAAACATGTTTCCGAGTGGGATGATGATGATTTCGAAATGCTACAGGAAGAACTGGCTGACATTATTCCATTGGTCAGGTTCGCTCAAATTTCTGCTAGCGATTTCAATGAAAAAATCATGCCTTATGAAAAAATATTTGACAAGGAACTTTTTCAATATTACCATCACGCAAATAACAATAATGATGTTTTGCAACCAAACTTATTATTATTACAACAACAAAACCCAAGGACTGGAAAGTTAATAGATACAAAATTAAAATCTATATTTTCTAGTTGGATTGATGGTAAAAAAATGGACTATTATGACGAAGATAACGTGCCATATGAATTTCAATTAATTCATTGTGGGAGTCGAGATGGGTGCACCAGATCAGATTTCGAAGAAAATTGTTACAACATTGAAGAGACTATAGTTATCATGAAAATTGAAAAATCAGGTATATTGGTCGGTGGCTATAACCCAGTTTGTTGGAATTTAAAAGAAAAATCAACAGAAGAGGCCTATTTTATCGAAACAAACAAAAGTTTCATATTTAAAATAGATAAAGACAGGTGGTACTATTCAATATTAAGCAGAGTCAAAAGACCAGAGCATGCAATAAAGCATAATGAAAATTTGGTGGATTTTAATGATTTATTTCTGTATAACTCTTGTTTAAAAAACATTAGACTATATTGTAATTACTGTTTTTATTTAGATAGAGCTTATGAAAATGACTTGTATCTTAAAAATTATTTTAGTAATTCTCATCAGTTGGAGGATTATGAAGTATATAAAGTAGTCAAGGAGAATTAATTGTTTGCTAATTGATCAATGAATCAATGAACGGATAAAACAATGCTTTTTTATATTTTTTTTATTATTTTTTTTTTTTATCAAATAAATATTAAAGTTAAAAGCTGATGCAAAAGAAAGAATTCCTCGTCTATTTGAATAAACTAAATAAACACTTTTGTCCCAACACGTAAGAAATAATAAATACCCGATTTACAATTATAAATGATCATATATCAATTTTCATTAACTTCGTGATGAAAACAAGTGAGCATGATGGTCTTTTATTATTAGGATCATATCTAATAATAAATCTATTACATAACAGATGGTAATTATGATTTTGCGAGTTCTTTTCACAGCATTGAGCATTTAAGATTGTGTCATTACATGTCTAGTTGCGATTACACTAACTAGTGCATTTACATATTCTATAAATATGTAAACTCAACACGGGCTTTAATATATTAATATATAAATAAATGCATGTCAATATTTATTGAATAATCTTACAATAATATCATCCATATACCCAATATTCAAAATAAAGTCATAGTCTGTTGAACTGATTTAAAGGAGATTAAGCAATTATTCATAATAATAGAGGAAATCCATATCTGAATATTACATAATAATAAATAATAATCATACTAATAATGCTAATAATAATGATATTATATAAAATATGAATATGTTTTAAATAAATAATTTAATTAAATCAGTTATAGTGATAACACCTAAAATTTTTTTATCTTGATCAATTATCCAAATACGATGAATATGATTTTCTACAATAATTTCGATTACTTCTTTCAAACTGGTGTCATATGTTGCTGTTTTTGGATTCAAAATATTTTCTGAATTTGGAAGAAGCTACATTACGAATAAAGATGAAGGAGAACAAGGAGATGGAGACGTGGAAATTAATATAAAAAAAAAATTTTTTTTTTTTTGAGATATTACAATTTTTTTGTGATTTCATACCTTTAAGAAATCCAAGACGGGCAAAACAAGATGATCAATAGATTTATAACTTAAACCCCGTAAATCGGAAACTGACAAATTTCCAAATAGTTGTCTATCGCTAAATAAATGCGTAGATAATGTAAATAAATAATTGTGATAAATATAATAATATATATATATATATATATATTTATACATCAAGATTTATTTACCTATCAACAATTGGAATTCCAATTAAATTCTTAAAAGCCATTCTTCTATAAACATTTAAAGCCGTCTCATTCACATAACCAACCACAACTTCCTCTTTTTTATCTTCACTAAACAAGCCAAGTGATTTCAAGGATAAATTGAAATCAATGTCTGGTACACTCTCAGGATGTTTATAAACATATTTGATAATATCCGTTTGTGTCAGGATGTATGGATTTATTTTACCAGTGTAATCAATTACCAACGAGCGATGAACTCCTTTGGAAAATGCTGTTAAAGTCTAAAACAGCAAATAACAATAACGAAAATAAATATTATTAAACTATTCACATGTTTTATATACATACACAAATAAATAAAATATAAATTATACATCATGAAGCCCTTCATTTGCATCAGATTTAAATATCCGATAACTTTCTCGATCACTATCCAAGGTCATAACGATTTCAATAGGTTTATCCAAATTAATAATTCTCTCACTGTTGATGGAAGTTGGCAATTTCTCATCTGCGACTGCTTCCTTGATAATATAATTTAAAATGTCCACCAAGTTAACTATATTAACAATCTCTTCTGAAACATGTGAATAAATTGGTAATGAAGTGATATTATTATCTGCCATGGTTTTTAAAGCACTTCTAACCGAAATGATCGGTTTGGCTGCAATGAGTCCCAAGTTTTTTGCAGTGTCTTTAATTTCTAAAGGTATAACTTCAGATAATTTTTTAGTCGACATTTTTTATCAACAGATGTTGATCGACCAATGAAATTCATCTGTTATATAGGGAAATTTGAATTCCATATGATCACGTGCTTGTAGAAAGTAATGGGGTACGGAAAATAGAACTCCGAAAATCTTGCATGAATTAATATTAATTAGCTGTGGATTATTGTTTTGTGATTATTTATTGGATAATAATAATATCTTGGCATACTGCAAAGTGAACATTGGTATTACCAAAAATTCCAGGGGCCAGTAATGTTTGTTTAACATCAGGGTGGCTGCATAACTCAAATGAGCACTTGGCTAAACTGACTAAACTATTTAGTCATACTTTAAGTCGAGTTTAGTCAAGTTTAGTCAAGATGATTATTACTAAATTAGGTTTTTAACCCCTTTACAAAAATAGTTAATATGAAACTCATTATATACATTAATCAGATCATAATCGTGTAGTTTGCCTTTTTTTTTGCCTTTTTTTTTGTCGATTAATATTAATCACGTCTGAAATTTGTCACCGAAAATATATATATTATCCATATTTATATTTTTGTGACCTGCCGTATTTTTATATCACTTACCTAAAAATTTTAAAAACTTATGATTTTTTTTTTTCGAATTAATTAAAAAATTCGGCTAATTTTTTTTCTTTATAAAAATACGGCAGGTCACCAAAAATATATTCTTCAATTAAATATGGACATAAAAATCCGGCAGATCCCCGAAAATATATTTTTTAATAAAATGGCAGGTCACCAAAAATATATATTAATATATATTTTTTTTATAAATTATTACTATAATAAAAATATGACAGGCTAAAAATAATTTTTTTATTAGCATTGATGTTAATTAGAGAATAATATATTTTTGGTGACAAATTTCTTATGTGATAAATATTGATTGATAAAAAAAAGGCAAACTACACAATTATCATCAGATCTACTATGGAACCCAAGGATTACAGTACAATTAGAAGTATTTTAAAAAAGGAACAAGGTGAAAAAGTAGCTCTCTGACATTTTCAAATGACACCCAGACACTAAAAGCTTATCTAAAAAAGGAGAGGATTGCTTATGAAATTTACCAAGAAGAAAGAATCCCATAACCAGTAAAAGAAAAGAAAATTTGAAGGGAAATAATTTACTGCCTAACTTATCTTTTAAAGATCAAAGGAATTAAAAAGATTTGGGGAAAAAAGAATTAATGTGAGTTGGTTTGATCTGCTTAAGAGTATATGGGGCATGGACAATAGAAACAGCCAAACATCAAAATCACAATTTTGAGTAATCGAAAAAAAAGATCTACATTTCAAGTAATTACCTATTGTTTTTAAGAACTTTAACAGAAAATAACTCAAAATTTTATTAAGCAAAGTGGATATAGTTTCTAAGCTAAAATTAATCTCTGTAATAAATTTCATGTAGAAATGCTGTTAACTCAAAATCATGATTTTTGACATTTGGGTTGCTTCTATTGTCCATGCCCCATATAACAAAATTGAGAAAAATTATTCCAAATTGGGATAGAAAAGCATAATGGAAATTTGAAATGTTACACTAATTTTTTATATTGTGCAACGTAGCTTTACAATACACGGCAAACATTCTGGCAATAAAAAGTAAGTGATAAACTGGATTTGAATTGGATCTGAACTTGATCTCCAATTTAGAAAGGTAACGACTATATACTGGCGAAGTTTCAGAAGCAATGAGTTCTGTATAACGTTTCGTGTAACAACAAACTTCCACTATGCTACATACCTATACACCTGAGTTTATTGCTCTAGTGACCCAAATGAGCAATATAGGCCAATCATCATTGTCATCAACAGTACAATGCACAAAAGAATTCTTTACTTTCCTGACTGGTTATTCCCCTGGTACTTGGGATCTCCACAAGTACTTTATCCAAGTGGAATAAAGAGGTAGCAGGAATAACAGTTACAGAAAATCTTCCAGGGACCACTTCTCAATTCTCATCATATGGGATCATGGCAGATGAAAGTACAAGAGGTGATAAAAAAATATTTTTAGTATGTGTATCACATTGGAATGTAGTAAAAGAGAAACCTACACTTACAATTCTCAGCATGAAGGATCTGGATCGGTGCAATTCAGTTACTGTATCTACATCTGTACTTGAAGCAATTAGATCATTTATCTTGGATCCAAAACATTGTCTATATTGGCTTACTGATAATACTAGTTATATGTAGGGTCCAAGGGTGGTGTTGTTGTAAATTTCAATCAAAGATGTGAAATAAATGCAATTAGGATTCCATGTGGCCTACATGTTGTTCATATTGCAGCAACAACATTTGACAATGCTGTTTTTGGGAAGGTCAGTTCCCCCTCAGGTCTTTCCTTGAACCCACATCCATTCAATGTTATAAACTTTGCATATCACCTTCATAATGGTTACAATGAATCTAATAAAGATAACCCATTAAACATGAAAAATGAAACTATTAGTAAAATGTATAAAGCATTACTGAATTTAGACCTCAAAAAATAACAAAAGCCAATTACAAGCCGTTGGTTATACCAGTTAACTACAGCAAAGCAATACTTGGAACGTTGTGAGCTTCACCTTACATTCACTAATTGGTTCATAGAAAAATTAGAAGGTTCAAGGAATGTGCCTGAGGGATATTTACATAAATGGAAAACATTTTTGGAATTCCTACAAAATGAAAATTTAAATACAGAAATTTTAATAATGGTAAAATTTGGAGAGTGGTTCTATGAAAAAATAATATATTTTTTAATTGGCTCTGATACTAACTCTAGTCACCCTCTACCAAATGGGTATTGTGCACATCAAATGCCTGACATGGTTCAAACTTGGATTAGTGAATTAGAGAATGTTGTGCAGGCACCTGAAGAAGTCTTCATGGATGAATTATTGGCAGCTTGTGATCATTTGAATGAACAGGAATTTCTGGATCTGGCTCAAAGAATGAAAATAGGTATTGAAAAAACTTTGAATGTCTTCAAAAAATGGATGATTACCTGGACTAAATTTCTACTTTGGATATGCAGTCTTGGAGGAGAGCATGGCCCTGAATTTGCACAAGCTGTTCTCAATGTAATACTTTCTCATCCTCTTCCTGATGATCAACCTACAATAATAGTAAAAAAATATATAGAAAGATTAAATGAGAATTTAAAAGATCAAAACAATACATTTGGGTTATTTGAAGCATTGGAAAAAAATAACTTTAGAGAACAGTTCATTGCATTTTCAAAAGTTAATTATATCCAGTTAAAAGAATTTCCATTGATATATGATTTTGTTAGACATCGTATCTGACCAATAATAGTTCATCAACAACATCTTCAACTTACAGGTCCCACTTCATTTAACCATGTAATTACTGCAGAAAAATTGGCAGTGACCCGAGCAAAAAGAAGAGAGAAAGCTTCTTTGTCTATTGATCCAGTCATTGGTGAAGAAGAAGCAATAAGATTGGCAGAAGAGTTCTTAATACCAAAAATAAAAGTAATTGATAAAATTAATAAAATTTTTTCTTTTTATAATTCATTTTTTTCGAAAAAATATTTTATCTTTACCATATATTCCATCCAACACATGTGTTCCTGTTCATTAATCCCCTTTTTAATATTCAAATATCCAAAAAGAATTATGAATATTCAAATACATCAGATAATTTTTGGAATTTTGAATAGTCATAAATGTTTTGAATCATAAATAATCATAAATGTTTTGATAACTAAATATACTGTAGTTATTATAGATAATAAATATTTAATTGATGAAAATTGATTAATTTGATTTTATTTATTATACATTACAAAATATTTTACCTTTTCCTTCTCATTTGGTTGAATACCAAGTACATGTAATAAATGAGAGATACAATTATTAGTTGAAAGGTGTTATGCATTATTTAATATTAATGGCTCTATATATGGTATTTCAAATAGTCTTAAATATTTCAAATGAATAGTAATAGTAATAGTTTCAATATTAAATATTTCGAATATTATAAATTCTAGTGTAACATTTTGAAAAATTCAACCACTAAAAAATCCGCAAATAATAATTTGCTTATATGATGTGACATATATTTGATAATCAATAGCCATCAAACACCACATAAAGACCTGGTCTTTAGGTCCAGACCTGCGGACTTTTCCATCCCTATATCAATATCAGCAATTAATGGTTGGAACTCAACAAGTTGCAATTCAGAGATTGGAATTCAAATTATTCAACCTACTGATAACCCGGAAACATATGAGAATAGGATTCGACCAGGAGTATCTAAAGTTGTGCAACCCGCAGACATTGATGCATTCTTTACTAATCTCAAGAATATGTGGGTGGAGCGTAGACCTTCTTTATTTAATTATGGAAGCGTGAATAATATGAATGGAATGGCATTTCAACCACCTCAGCAAATTCTACAACAACCTGTGTTTCAACCACCTCAGCAGATCATTCAACAACCTATGTTTCAACTGCCTCAACTAGAGATGGGCAGATCAGTACTATACGTATAGTGCGTATAGTTCTAGAAAAATATAGTAGTAAACGTAAATCAATTCCTGTTTAGGTTATTGCCAAATAATAGATGTGATGTTACACATAAAAATTAATTAATACTCTTTCTCATGATAATATATATTTTAAACTTTCCTGCAATTTGGCAACATTTAATATTAACGCTCTAGTTCAATATCTAGATGTGAAAAACATTACATCTTTGTCCAAATGCCACAATTCAAATTAAAAGAAATTATTTTGGAGAACATTTTAATACTTCAAATACTTGGTGTACAGGTAAATTACAACATAATTGAAGATTTCATCAAGGAAGCTGATGAAAATTTTATTGAAGAATCAAATAAAAAATGAAAGAAGTTTTGATTTTTATGATATTTTAATTCATTCAATATAATTAATGATTCATAAATAAAAACCTAAAAAGTGTAGGTTGAATAAATTAAAGATTTATGCTTATCATAATAGCCAAATTATATTTTTTT